GAAGAACCGTCGCGTTGCGCATGCAAATGGTATGTAAACCGCGCGAAAACAATTTGACAGAGGAACGACGCGCCACGAGCGACGTTTCGCGATTAACGCATAATGGAAAGCAAACTCCGGCCGTCGGGAAACTAAACGACGAGAACAAAATGAGGAGGCGCGTCCATACATACACTGCGGGAAAATAAACGTAACAACACAGCAGCAGCAGCAACAACAACTACGCGAACTAGAAGCGACGATGATCTCGCGGAGAATGCCGTTAATTGCACTAAGCATTCTTCCCGTTGTCTCGTCGCTGCCTCGTACGCGCAATATACACATACGCACACACACATTCACACACACAGATATGTACAGGCATGCTAAATGATTGCGCAAACATGCGTCGATGCGGCGGACTTACTCATTCCGAAAGAGTTACGTGCGACTTCTCGCGCGTAATTCAGCGCGTTATCAGCCGATTATCGCAACGCGATTATTCATCAAGTATCGGAGAGGCGTGTTCGGAAAATCGCGAATTTTTCTTCCGCATTCTCGCCGATTAGAGCGAATTTCCCGCGACTCGGCGATCCGTATGAATTTCATTAGCGACGCGAAGAGAAAAACAGCAATGCCATCCAGTCACCGGAACAGAAAAAGTGAGATAATGATGGAAAAAATTAATAATCAATTCAAGATCCATATTCTCATATGGGTGAGACCATTTGGAATTGCCATTAAAAATAACGTAATAAATATCGATTTCACGGGGAAATTTTTTAGACGAAAGTTAAATGACTTGGAGGGATTGCATTCTTGCCATCGAATTTTTTTCTATGCGGAGACGTCAAAGTCACATGAAAGTCAATTTCATTTTTTTTAATGGAGTCATATAATTTTGTTAACACAAGTCGATTCCTCTGTTCATTCTTCTCTGTTCTCTTCTGCATATAAAAGTACTAAAATAGGGACATTGAAAAATGAAGACTATTCGAGATCTCATTTTTTCGAAAATCGAAATTTATTACGTTATTTTAGATGGCGATTTTAAATGATCCATCATGTATAAGCAAGAATATATATTCTTATATGAAGATAAAATTTACTTATATGAAGAAATTCTATATAGTTTCACTAAAAATATTATATTCTTGTTATTTAAGAATAAGTTTCATGAATTGAAAAGAAAAAAATATTAATTTTGTTACCTGATTACAATACAATATGATACAATTGATACTAATTGCGATACAATATTAATTTTTTTCTGTGTAATTCTTGGTGGAAAAAGTGACAAAAGGTAACCTTTCCGACATCAAAGTAGTGACCAAAAGTGGCATTTTTCGTCAAATTCGGGGAATAACTGAGGTCATTTAAGCAAAAAAGTAACACTTACTCTTACCTTCTCAGGTTTATCTTTAAATCATTTAACATCTAGTGGAATTTTTTCATAATATGGTTTGAGAATTCATAATAAGGAAAGACCAAGCATGAACGATACAATCGACAGCAGACGAGACGATAAAAAATATACATAGAACATCAATGTTTTACAAATTTAACGGCAATTCAGGAAAAAAAATTGATCATAGTGACCTATTTTGGACGATAGTGAATTTTTCAACGACTTGTCAGGAAAAAATGACGATAAGGTAACTTGAGTGACTGGATGCAAGCATTAAGAGCATCTCGACAATGTTCGTCGGCCATTTTTTTTTCGCCGGACAGATACGAGAGAGATACGTCGTCGATGTTTTATCGATGAAATTAATTTCGTGAGACTCGAATTGTACGTACATACGGGCGGGCGACACACGCATACACGCGTGAGTCGCTTCCGCGTGCACTTACGGCCGGATTAATCGGACGAAATACGCGGCCGCGGACGTGAAATCGATAAGATTAATCTCGTGCGCCGCCACGGTCTCGGAATGACTAACCGCATGATTAATGCATGTTAATCACCTCTGCGTGATCTCAGTGCGAGTTATGTTGTGCTCCTGTCTCTGCTCGATCCGACGGTTCACCAGCCTAATAGTTGATCAATCGCAAAATTATCAATCAACCACACGACCTCGCGCCTACGGAACGCTATTGTAAGTGTGAGTCGTTGTCGTTTGTAACTGTCTTTTTCGCTCAGGTCAAGAGATAATCATCATTATGTGTCATTGGTCGTGTCTTTTCTTCCTCGTTTCTCTCCCTCTTGCGTGTCTTTTCTTCCTCTCTCTTTCGTTTCTTTATTATTTTTCTTTTCTTCCGCCTCTTTTTCCCTTTTTGGCGTACGGAACTTTTTAACTCTCAATTATTAAATATCTCGAGAAGTCTCTTAAATTAAGATTCTGTTAAGACGAAGTTCGGACTCGGAATCCACCGGGGAAATAAGACCTTGTTATCTGTTTGTAGCCCTGAAGCTTAATGCGCGGGTGGACGGGCGCGCACGCCGAAACCTTTTAATCTTCCATGTTAAGTAACTCCGTAATTGCGTCTGAATTATCGCAAAAGGAAAGTCGACGTCAAAGTCGTCGAAGAATAAAGGCCGAAGTTTACTCGCGAGCGTGAGCCTTGTACGAGAAAGAGAGAGGAAGAGAGAATGAGAAAAAGAGAGAGAGGAGAGTCTGTAAACCACGAAGTGGAGCGTTTTCTCTCGATCGAGTGGAGGACGTGGAAACGAATATTCGAAACGCGCGAGATCAGCGCGTTAAAACGTGTGAACGATAATGAGCGGGCGAAATAATGGTTACGGGGAGAATGATGTGACACCACGATGTGAAGTATGCGGTACAACACGTTTATCTTCTCGTCACGCACAACGTGACCAGATAAGCTGAAGAGTGCGTGACAGAGAAAGTTTTCGGCCGCGCGGTACCGATGATCGAAGTTCTACTTAACATAGAGAAAGACACTTACAGACAGGAGTCAACCAGCTGATTATTTGACATACCAGCTGATTTGTGTCTCTCGCTCCCGGGCAGTAGATGATGTCCCCTGAAAGCATGAGAAAAACATGTTCTGAATGAACGTACGTTATTTAAAAACAAACAAACAAAATATCAAACATACGTATATGTTTTTACATATCTAATGTAAAAACATATAATGTAAACACATGATATGTACACTAAAAAAAAAAATTGTTAAAATAAGGGAAATATATTTTATTACATGTATTTTTTTTTATTTAAATAAATATTTATTAGATTTAAAAAAAATTATAAATGTAAAATGTTATTTTTTTAAATCTGTAAAACGACTCGTAAAATCATGAGATTCTAGATTTAAAAAATATAATTTTCTAGTGTACGTTCGTAATATCTTATGTTCGTTTGTCCTTTCATTCTACGCACTTAATACTACTCTGTACCTTATCTTATGTATTTATATTTCTTATCGACATAGATAAGATTTTATCTATAATGTATATTTGTGCATCGAGCGATTTTATCGGTTCGGAATTGAAGGTGAGTCACAAATACGTGCGGCGCGTATAGAAGACACCCGGGCGAAGATTTTCTTACATTCAACCTGACACGTGGCTGTCCGACCTTTCCCCTGTAGATAAACGCGACTCGGAATTGAGTCGCTATTGTGTTTAACATTAACTGCAACGTCAACAGAAGCCGGGAATATCGGCGATGGATTATTTCTGCCGTGTCACCTGCATTTATTTATCATTATTGATCGATGTACGTGTTGGCGACGCTCGCGAGTTATAAATGTCGGCGCGACAACGATTTTCTCGTGATCGTCCGTAGGGGAAATCGAAGTAGGTTTATATTAGGAGCGAATTAATATAGCGTTTCATATTTATATACATAATAATAAAAAAAGCGTTGTGTCAAAAACAACTTATTGGAATTTTGTGTTACTTTAATATGAGGAATGTGTTTAAAAATAACAAATATAATGTCAACGTATTCAATCATATTCATTTGGCCAACATATGTTAACAAGGTGATAATATATTAATTTAACATTACATTTATATATGTTTTAATACATCCCTCATGTTAACTTCATCTGGATAGAAGAGCCTCTAAGACTCTCTTATCGGTAGTGAATATAACGGTAAATAGCCTATTACTTATATTAATGTTATTATTTTACTAAATAAACTGAATTAAAAGAGAAAAAATATTTTAAAATTATTAATTTCAGCTATTCTATATTAAGCTATTCTATATTAAGAGCCTCTGATGTTCTTTTGTCCATTTGTTATAAAATCATTCTGTCCTGACGAAGATTAAAGTAATACAAATTTTCATATGTTAAATCATTTTTAACACAACATTTTTTACTGCGCACTTATTGAGAAAGGAACAATGTGAAAGAAGTCGTTAAATATTCCTTTCGGAACATAGGATTCCTCCGATTTTCATTAAAATCGGAAAAATTTTACGATTAACAAAACGAAAAACAATATTTGAGCAGTCGAATAAATTTCCGAACATTTCGAAATCTTTTCTTAATATTCTCCATCGTGACCGGATAAATCTAAATGACGTGTAATTAATTAAAATAAAGTTTTCTGCAGTTGTGCGATATATTATTTTGCTTAACACGTTCACGCCGGGGTCGATTTTCATGTTTTTCGCTGTGAGGCGGCGCTCGAATTCATGCTGCGCTTCATCTGGCGGCGCCATTCAAATTTCAATTATTTAAATTTTCAACTATACGGCAATTTTTTCCAGTTACTAAACGAACTATATTTTTGATGGTGAGCGATGTCTAAACGAATGTTCAAGCGTGACCCACCGGTGATGCACGCCGCCCGATGGCTCAGTATCGTGTGACCCACCGGTGATGCACGCCGCCAGATGGGACAGTCGAGCGTGACCCACCGGTGATGCACCCCGTCGTGAACGTGTTAATAAAAGTAATGTTCACGTACATTGATGAAATTATTGAAGTCGAAGAAATGATTGAATGGAGCAAGTTTGGTAATTAGGTTTGTTAAGTGCAAAGCGCTGCACGAGTATGTTAGCTCTGTTTCGCGCATGTCGACTGGCTATCGGAGATGTGCTTCCTAGTTTATTGTCTATTGCATACCGGTAGAGAAGCTTGAACTAGTAAGTAACCTTTACAATTATCTGAATTGCTTTAAGATACCTGTACCAAACATACAGTCGATTAATTAATGTAATGAATAGTAGAATTGTTGCCAGTCTCGTTGAAGACTACATAAATGAGATTGTTTATATCAGACAAAGCTATGTAGGTTATATTTTGACAAGCACTGAATAATTTTATTTAATATTTTTAAAATTCTATTTTATTGTCTTATTAGCTTGTAAATGTATGAAGTTTTTTCTCAAACACGATATATTTCACAAGCTTTTTATCGGACAAGAACTTTTAAATTAATCTCATAATAATCGAGAATGTGCGTTCTCAATTATTATTTATTATCATTACATATTTATTCTTCCTTTTTTATTTATTATTATTACATAATTATTATTATATTAGTATGTATCTCTTGAATAATTCTGCTTTGAATATATGTTATATAATTACTAAATAATTTCAAACATATATACATTTCCCGATATAATCATAATTACATATAATACTAACGCTTCGGCATATTCACACAAGTGCTCCACGTTCGTATTTTGGTTATTATAGACGAAACTATACACAGATTACAGGATTTTTGTAGCATAAAAGCATAGAGGAAAGTTGTTGCTATCATCATGCGGAAAAAAAAGTTTGGCTGAATTTATCTGGCAATGGACAAACCAAACACGTTTTGACCGAAGGAAACAGAATTTCTAAAAGAACCGAATTTTATTTGTAAAAACCAGAAATTTGGTTTTCTTCAGCCGAAATGCATTTGGTTCGCTCATAGTCAGGTGAATTCCACCGAACTTTTTTCTCGTGCGTCGTTTAGTCAATCACAACAATTAGTTGTCTGAAAAGTTTTAACACCTAAATTCTGAAAAGTCACCGAACCTACACGTTCCAGTCTCTCCTACTATTTTTCTCCGAGGATTTCTTCTGAGAGAGAAAAAGTGGAGCTTCGTGCGGGAAAAATTTTAATCTGCCCTCATTTTCGCCCCGTTTCTTTTCTTTCTTCACGACGAGTCCACGCCCCATCCGCCCGGCGGGACACTGCGTTGCGCGTCGGGACACTCTGTATTTCCATCGTCGACAAAGGGGATCTTTTTAATTCGCCACTTAACACGTTTGAGCCCTTCCGGGCCTCGATTAATTTCTCGCCCGGGCGCTCTTCTATCGCGCGCTTTCCGATTTACTGCGGATTTTCCGGCCGGCTGCGAAAACCCCGTCGTAAATTAGCGCCTATTGAACGAGGAGAAGCGAGAGGAGGGTGCCGGCACTGAAAATCGTGTCGTTCGCTTTCGAGATGATACGTGACGTTCGATCGCGGCTCGCGAAAATAGACGTGGGAATAATTAAATCGAGGCGATGGCGCGATTCCTTCGCCCAGAAAGGGGTCCATCGACTTCGACCGAAACGAGGGCGGTGTCGCGGACAATTTTCGAGGCAGCCGAGCGAGTTTCACGAGCGAAATTACATTACATTAGGTGTGTACGTAAGTTTTAGTCCTTTTCTGCAAATCTTCGCTTTATTTCCGCGAAATTACTTGAAAAAAAAAAGAAAAAAAAAAGAGAAATCAGAAGAAATCAGAAGTCGATGGCGCTTTCGCAGAATGTTTAGTTATTAAAAAATTAATAAATGATAAGTCTAGTTATGACAAAAAAAAAAGGAGAGACGAGTGAGTTGGAGACGGTAGAATCAATCGGCGCGGAAAGGGCGAGATCGTGACGCGCGACGGGGAGAAAGAGGAAACAGGCGGTGGGGGGCGGACGGAGGAAGGACGGGTCGTGGTGGTACGGGGACGATAATTAATTTATGCCCCAAATGCTTTATTAATGAACGCACTTGATTGCTAGCAGCGGAACGAACGAATATGAACGAACGAACGAATGATGAACCAACGTTGCCGCGAGGTGGAAAAATAACGAACCCCGGTTATTTCGGTTATCATTCGCGATGAGTGTTGTGTATTAGCGAATATTGTGCGAATTCGCGATTAATAACACGTTAATTTGCGAGCGGACGGCGCTTGTCCCCTCCCCGGTCCGTCCATGGCATCACGAAATTTTTCAGCGATCGGATCGAACGTCGTTCTATCTCCCTCTCGCTCTCTCTCTCTCTCTCTCTCTTTCTCTCTCTCTCCCTCGTGCAATTATCGTCGCGCTTTCTTCGCATCTCTTTCCTCTCCCCTCCTCCCGACGCGCTTTCCGCAATTTACACTACACTTTAACAATACACTTATTACCCCTCCGGACGATTATTTCATTATTAACGATAATCTGCACGAGTTACCGCAGATATTACAATTTTCGTGCGTCGTTGTTCATGCAAACGCAGGACGCTTAAGGATTCATTAAGTCGTTAGAGACGGGAGAGATCGCGGGATAAGTGGAGGGATTATAAAGGCGCGCGCTCGACTACGACGATTCACGTTGAATTAATAAAACGTCATCGCGGAGGCATCGCGGAGACGCTCGTTATATGCATACATATGTACGTGTCTATATATATATTAACAATCGCGCGGATACGCACACCGGACTGGAAGCGGAAACGGAAAGGGACATACAGAGCGGAAGGCAGTGAAGGGCATCGTTTATCCTCCTCCTGACCGCCCTGTCGTGAGAGAGAAGGGGGGGGGGCACCGGGAGAAAAATTGTGGATCGACCGTGCATTACCGTAAAGTCATAATGCGGAAATTTAATATACACCCCGAAAGGGTATTAATTACATGAATAAACGATACGGTGCGTCCGCGCGCGCGACAAAGAGAGAGAGAGAAAGAGAGAGAGAGAGAGAGAGAGAGAAAGTCTGCGATATATAGTATAACGCGGCTCGCCCGCGGAACAGTTGAACCGTTAATTACAATGCGAATATATCCACCGGCGTTAATTTAAAATTACTATTAACGTGCGCCCGGCGCTGCC